CAAAGACAAGCAAATCTGGTTAAAGGTTTCAGTAGCATCAATCTGGAAAGATGGAAGTTCTGTTAAGCTTCTTTGAGTAAACTGAGGTATTGGAAATGATGCTTTTTATGCAAAGTTTCTAAGTGTATCACATAGTTATATTGCACTTCTATCTTCAGGGTTGTCAGGACTGAAGTTAAGAGGCCAGTAGTTATTCAAGACCATGGTTCGGACTGGCTCTTTACTCGAAGAGTCGAATATTGAAAAGAGTCAAATTAGCACAGAAATACCACAGTTCAGTAATATGGTAGCAAGTGTGACAGGAAAAAAAAGTGTACTGGATCTTGTAGAGTCAGTTGCAGTTACTATATTTGTCATTTATTCCTCTTTATCCAGTATTTCCTGTAATAAAGGAGACTTAATTGGAGCAAACTACCATAACCGAAAAAAGCAGCCAATAAACCTTTTTTTTCCCAGACAACAATAGTACAAAAAACCTTTATGACAGTTTGCCACACAATTTTCATGAAGAGCACTGCACCTTTCTTGAAATGACGAGCAAACAGAATGTCTTGAACTGACTTACCACATTATCCACTGCTGACTTAAGGCACTGGGCAGAAGGCAACAATTATTGACTAAAGTATATAATTCCTTTACAATAAACTTCGAAAGGCCTTATTTTATGGTCTTGTTTCTTCTTAAAATCAAGAATCCAAAGTAAAAAACTGATGATGTCCTGCATAAGTTATGTACACAAAAAAAATAAATCAATGCCATCACTTTTGTCTCTTCACCAACAATCTTGTTGTTAATGCTGTTTTCTGAATGTTGGCGGAAACACATCTTTTTACATATAAGTTTAAGGTAACGTTGTGATAATTATCACCATGCTTACAAAGCTTTTAGAATAAAATGTGATTAGCTATTTCAGTAAATCCTAAAACATGGCTGTTTTACCTACACTATTTTCCAGTCTTCTTGTGAGTGAGTCACACAACTTAGTATGTTTAAGGTCTTCCATTAAGATCTGCTATTATTCAGGTCTGGGTTGATGTTAGCTATTTTGGTCTTTTAATGTATCTAGCATTAAGATAATTGTCAAATTTCTGAAAGATAAGTTGTAAGCAGGCTGAAGAAAGGATTTTTGGCTTTTGCAAGCTCACTGAGATGAATTTATAAATATAACAATCTAACTTGCCCAACATAAAAACACACTTCAATTATTGTTACAGTTGAGTTTGAAAGTTTACATACCCTTCAAATTAAATAAAATGATCAATTGACTTAAGTAATTAAAATAACACATCACTAAAAAAAATAATAAATAAAAAGTAACTAAATGATAATTTAGTACAATAAAATATTTTTTAAGAAATTATACTAAACAATAAACTGTCCCTGACAAATTAAATTACCTTGTTCATGAAAATGGCTTAAACCATGCTAAACATGTGAAAGAATGTCCTACATGGGTGGGAGGTAGAAAACCCCCCCACAGAAAATCTGCGTAATTTTTAACTGAGAAATAATAATTATTTATGCTTTTTGCAAGTTCCAGCTGCCTGTACACAAGACATCTAGATGTGTTTCAATATCTCTATGAAGTGTTGAAAGGCTCTACCTTTCACTTTAAAATACCTGCAATCACACTAATGCTTCTATTCAAGTCAAGCTTTAAATGACTTTGGGAGGACATGCTTTTCACCTTCCTATTTCAGTGTGCCACATGGTGGACATTGAGTTGAATCTATTGATTCGATATATACATTTTTTTAAGAACCCTACCGTCTAAGCTAGATGGGAGATGCTCTTTCAAAATGTAATTGACTTCTAATTGTGTTTCCAATGCTATGTCAAGGCGGCCCAGGCCTAAATTGTCCAGTCTCTAGGCCATTTGGCAGCAAAACAGCCCTTGGCAAGCCACATTACAGGTGAATGGCCATGGTCTAATAGGTTATCTGTGGAAAACACATTGCAGTCAATTAAAGAGTCCACTTCCTCTGGTTGTGATGGCCATTAGACAGGCCCACCACAACAAGTGACTCTTCAGTGGCTTTTACTCTACAGCTACCCAGTCTTTTTAAGTCATAGTGTCCTTAAGCTGCACAGTCCCCCAAAGACATACTTTTTGTCTGGTTTTGTTGTCTACTAAGCTTTTTTAGTTGGCTCAGAGACACAGTTTTTCATTCAATGATTCCCTGTGACCCTGATGGACAAATAAACCCCTTTTAACAAGTGTTTTTTTTTTCTTCTGTTCCGCTTCCACTCATCCTGAAATATTCTTCCCTGCAGCACCACACAAAGGGAACACAGCTCTTAGCTTCTCTTGAGTGGAAATCATTTAGAAGCATTACATTTGCACAATAAACCAATTCAAAAGTCCTCAATGGTTTATGGAGAAACACATTCACTATTTATTTCTTACCTATTCTGACAACCAATTACAAGCAATCATAGGTAGACCCAAACACACACATATGGACATAACTGACAACTACATTGAAACCCTGTCCCATATCTGTTGTGGTGGAGACATTTGGTTGTCAGTATGATATAAAACAACTACTTAATCATTGTTTAATTTTGCTTCCTGAATTTTGCACACAGATCTCTGGGACCTCAATCGAAACATATTTCATCAGCTCTTGAGATGAGGCCAACTGCTTTCAAAACTTGATTAACAAGAGGGACCAACAACAGTTGGAAAAGTCAGTCAGCAGTGGGATTCATTATTTTTATTTACTCTGATAAACTGTCACTATAGATACTTGTCTTCTGCATATCCCACTTTTTTACTCAAAGGAGACTGAACAAATTAGTATATAGAGGTAAAACCTGAGATACACTGCCTGTTCAGAACAATGTCATCACCTGGATTTAACAAATAATTTAGGTTAAAACTCTGATAATACCTGATTGGCAGGTAAGCAGGCAACAAGCGGTTTACTCCAAACTGGTATAGTTCGTTATATGGTAGAATCCTTTGGTTGTGAAAAAGGTATCTATAGAGGTTGAATTATTGGCAAGCATAAAGCAAAAAAAATATGTTTATGCCTTCGAAAGAGTTGTTTAAAAAAGAAAATACAGCCACCATTAACCTTTGAGGGAATTACAGTCTGAAAATAGAATTTAAATGATCATGAGGAGTATTTAGTGAAATGTTTGTTAAAGTTAATTCAAAACAATTGACAACCTAATGTCTATGGCTTCTGGTGATGGTCTCTCACTGAGCTGATCGAAGATACTCAGCATTTTATTACACGTCTCATCTGGTACAGACAGCGCTGCTTACAGGTATCTGTGCTGCCTCTCTTTATGACAGAGGAAGGACAAAGTCTCATTGATATCATATCCAAGCCAGTTGTATTTAGATTTCAAACTGTTTAGAAGCTACTTCATGGATTTGGTCACTGCAGACTGCGTTTGGCTCACCCTCTTTTACAGAACGCCAGATGTCTTGGACTAGATAAGCACTTTTTTTCTGACCAGAATAGCAGACGGGATTAACAATATTTTCCTATCCTCTTCAATAAGGACTATATTCATTTAAACTGGGATAATGACATTGGGTATAATCAGGAGACCATCAATTGAAAGGATAAGCAGCATTACTAACATCATGACTAATAGAATAATTAAAGAGGATTTTGGAAGAAGTCTTGCGGTCCTTACCTGTGCGACCGATTGTATTTGCTGAAAACCGTATTCTATCTGATGAGGGGAATGATGAGAATGAGTATGCATTTCTTTCAGGTGCTCCAACCTGTTATTGTTAGAAAGAGGAGAGTGGGCTGCCTTTTTTTCCTCCAAAAACCAGGGTAAGGGGATTTTCATCCATGTTGGAAGAAATACCTTTGTCAAAGCTGTTTCAAGATACTGAACATGCTCTATCTGGCTAATGTAAGACATTCAAAGTAAGCATATGTTTTTGATTTACATCTTAACCCTAAATGCAGATGGAGGATCCCGTATAAGGCACATATTGAAAGGCAGGTTGGCAATATGAGTGGAAACCTGAGGGATTCAGTTCGATCAGACAGTATTTTTCTATATTTTGTTTTTTTTCTCTTCACAGTTGCTGCATCTTGCCTGATATTCTTCTTTGATGCTGTCCAGGAGTGGGATCTTGAGTACGCTGCTGGTGACATCATGTTGTCCTATAATTTATACACTGGGTCCTGTTTTACAGTTGTTAACTCTGTCTCTGAGTTTTCACTGACTGACTGCATATGCTATATTTTTAATTCCAGACTTGAATACTTTCTTAGAGTTTATCTGAATAGCCATGTTTCTTTCATAGATATATCCAGTACAAGTGCTACTTCTCCAACTCACCTTCTACCCATCTCTCACATACTGTAGAAATTATCCTCAATCAGTGCTTCTGAGTTCCTCTTCCTCAGTCAGTCATGGCAGAATGCTGTTCACACTAAGCCTGGTTCTTCTGGAGGTTATATCTGTTGAAATTGACTTTTCATTCTCACCAGAAAGGAATCTCCTATACTCTGCATGAGGAATTGCTGTGAAGTTGACAACACAATTTTACCGGTCTGCTGTCACTACATACTCATCTAGGAGTGAATAATGCAAGTCAGTGACCCGCTACAATCTGCTGGGTTTCAATAGAATATTTTTGTATGATTTGATTAAATATACTCTGCAAATGACCTGCGTTATAAAATGGTGCAATATTTGTTTGCCACTTTAAGACCAAAACAAGTCAATCTGTTAAGAGTTACACTTCAGTCCCTCTAGATTTGGTTTTTAATTTAACCTGTTTAACTTGCAATAAAACCTTTCTAAGAGTAGTATGTTGAAGTTTATTTGATCTAATCTATACTTTGGGTGTGGGGTATGGGATTGCCAACCATTTATGGTAAGCTGTGTCTCTTTCTACAATCCATTAGCTGTAAGATTCACCTTTTAACACTTGTCCTATAGAAGGAGGATTTATAAGAAGCGACATTCATGCACAACATCATAATATGTTTTTGTATCAAAGAAGAGCATTAAACACATCATTCTTAAGAGTTTTAATAATTTACTAAAAAAAGAGTGTAAAAGTAACAGATCACTTTCACTAAAGATGATCTGTTTAATATTCAAAGTGGTGACAGATGTAACAAATTTTTGCACCTGTCTGTACATATGTGTACACATACTTGGCAACTGGCTGGAATTCAATGACTTTTGCACTGTATACTGTATCTAAAAAAAGCCACAGTGAAAAAAAATATAGTAAAAATGATATGAATTACTTTAAAATAAATCAACCATCATGAAATGTACAGCTCTTAAAAAATAGCAAAAAACCTCAAACATCCGAAATGTGTATATACAAACATGCTTGGACTCTAACAAAGAACAGACTGAGGGAGGCTGAAGAAAGTGAGCCTTTTTGACGGTTTGCTTGACATCATTTAGGAAAGCCAATGAAATTAATGGGTCATTCTTAAATATTTGATCAATTTGTAAAACCAACAATATATCCTGGTCTATTTCAAGTTTTGTCACTTTTAGCAGAAAATGAATATGCTATAAATATACAGTATACTGTATTTCCTGAATCAATTTAAGTTAATTCCATTAAATAAAAATTGTTGTTAGTTTAGAAAATAAAAAAATGCATCAGAAATGTGTGCACTTCTAAAGAGTCGGCTTTGCCCACCCCTCATCCTCATCATTAAGTGCCTGTTTGCAAGAGGTAATATACTTTTTTTATTTACATTTATATATATTTATTTAGATTCATATATATCAATTACTAAGACATGATATAATCTGTATAAATATGGCATTTTTACAATTGCATTAAACTGACAATTATTTCAGATCCCAAGACAATTAACTGTCACCTGGGTAAAAAAGGCTTTGTTTCTCCTTTTATTGATTTTAATTATTAAAAATAAGTCTCAATTCTTTTTAAATGTTTACAATATAAATAACAAATTTTTTCCTGTCAAATGGTTTCCATCGTGTTCGCATCTTCAACACTTTGGAAGGAGAGGAGAAAAGTGGCGTTTTCAAACCATTCCCCTCAGGAATAAGTTAGCAGCAACCAGCTGCAAGATGTCAGCAGAGTAGAACTGTAGGAGAACTTTGGAAACATAACTGATCCAACAAATCCATGTGTTTGCATTGTCATGCAATATGCTGGTTGCACAGTCTGGAGTTATGTGGCGCTGCTCAGATGTCCTTAATAATGAAAGCAACGAAATCAGGGATAACTTGTTTCCTCAGATGCTGCGCTCCCCTGGATGGACAACATTCCCTTTTTAGGTGAGCATAGTTGAAGCCTTCCACTTCCCCCTGATTTGCAGTTTCTGAGGTACACACCTCAATCAGAGAGTCACATTTCAAACCCTGCCTATGAAATCCACAGCAACTCGAAAACAGCAGGGGAGCACTACTGCTCTCTGGTGGCCAGAATGAGGCACATAAAGTTGAAGATCCCATTTGTCCACACGCTACAATATGTTCAAAATGGCGTTGTACATCTGGACCAAGACAGCCAGATGGACAGGCAGGCAGGATTGACGATCTTGCGTGGCAGGTGTGCATGTAAGCCAAGAAAGGGCGTTGTACTGTTCCAACACAAACCTGCAAAAAAGATATCAGTTTATATCATAATGTATGATATTCTGATATATTCTGACTTATTTCATATTTTTAAATATAGAAATAACACTTTTTTAATAGGCTTTGATGTATTTACCTTAAGACATCTGAGGTTGTCTTTGAGTCTAAAGGATGAGGGTTCCGCTTAGTTTTTTCTGATGGCATATCATCTGACTGAGCTATGGAAATGTGGTGGTGGAGAGACGCCTGGAGTGATGAAACAAATCACAGAGAGTCAGTTCTGAAATTTCACAATGCCAAGCTTAGTGATAGAACTGTTTTCAAACATTTTGTTTCCAGAGACAATAATATTCATATGAAGTGTAATATGGTCAGGAGTCAGTTATTTTTAGTTCAAGGGGAAAGTATAATGAAAAAAAATAATAACAGTTGTAATTTCAAAGTATAATCCTTGTCCTTTTGTTTAAATTGTGTCTTTTTATCTGTCTTTGTCTTTTCCTTTTTTTCTGTCTTTCTTTTTTTCTGTCTGTCACTTTCTTTCTTTTTCTTTCCCATGTCCTAAGTTCTTTTCATACTTTCATACCTTGGTGTGTTATCTGCTTCAATCTGTCCTCCATTCCTTTTTTTCCTACACCTTTTTCTTACTTGTGTTCCTTTCTTTCCTTCCTGGTATATTTTTCTTTTCGGGATAAAGCTAGGTTAATTTATACGCCTGCCCCGCAATAAAGTTACATGTCATGCATGAATAGTAACCTGTTGCAATAAAAAAAATAACAATATGTGGGAATCCATCCATCCATCCATCCATCCATCCATCCATCCATCCATCCATCCATCCATCCATCCATCCATCCATCCATCCATCCATCCATCCATCCATCCATTCATCCATCCATCCATCCATCCATCCATCCATCTACCTTAAGGAAGAGTGGGCACTGGCTCTCTGCTTGTGGGCAGGATGCCCAGAACCAGTGAGGAAGTCCATTAGCTTGAGCTGTAGAGACGTAGTAGCCCAGAGCCAGCGGCTGCTGTTTCAGCTCCTCCGGAGGGTTATCCCTGGACAGCAGGCGCTCCCCCTGACCCTACAGACACAAAGCAGAATCAAAAAATATAAATTAGGTGATGGTGACATTGAGGACATTATGATATTTTTGAGCATTTCCCGTTAAACTACTTGTATCCTATTTTAATAAATCTTTATCTTCAAGGTAAAATGGGATGCTTGAACAGTAGACTAAACAAATTATTCCCCATTTAACTCAAATTAATTCTTCTTAATTGCAAATTATTTTAAATTATTTATATAACTGATTCCTAACTCACCCTGGTATGGTGAAAATGTGATCCCATTCCCATCCCTGATGGTGACCCAGGCGAGGTCACAGGAGAGGTGTTTGGGGGTGAGTGTAGTGATGTGATAAGCATCATGTCGTGCCCAATATCATTTTCCAGTTCATCAGGAAAGGGAAGATCAAACATGTCATCTGTGTAAAAAAGAAAACAGATAAAACATGACTTTGAATATCAGAATGCAGAACACTGAAAAAAATACTTAAATTCATCACCCTTTCAGCCACATTTAAGGTTATTTCTAATATTATATTTCATCCTCTAGGTCAATACCATTATTATCTTCTGTAGGGTAGGAGCTGGAAGCCAGCTGGGTTGTGGCAGATGTTGGGAAGACCAAGATGTGTGTGCAGGAAGCATCCTGAGGTGTGTTCAATTGCGATGTCTGCAGGTTTAAAGCATTGCTGCGTCCAAACACAGAACCCATGGTCACCGCATCTAGGCAGAAAAAGGAAATAGGACACTGAAATTTTCCATGTTATACACTGTTATTGCAGAAAGGGATACAGTGGTGCAATAGTACAAATGAAAAATCAAACTCAAAGAAGGTTCATGTCTATTTCCCTTATAAACTAACTTTACAATGAAAAGCATGTCTAAAAATGTCAGTATAAAAGAATCAACACCCAAAATGAGGATTATATTGGATAATAAATAAGATTTACCATTTAAATGGAATTTATTACCACAAACACTGTTCTTTGACCTTTTAACGTATTGCATAGTATAGTTATACATTAAGATGTTTAATTAAGATGATTATTGTATAATTAATAAATACCTGGCATGATCACAAATGAGCCCTGTGGCTCCATGGCAACCAAGCAGGCACTGAGGATGGAGGGAGAGTCAGCCGCTGATATCCCACACACACGGCAAGCCTCCCTCAGCTGGCGTCCAATTGACTGGAGGGAATGCTCGCCGAGGAGAGAACTCCAGTCTAGTTGGAAGATGCAATGAGTTAGAGAACTTTCCCAAATTCTATATGTCAACTTCTATTTCATTATCTCATGAAATAATTCAAATTGACTCTAGTAACTAAGTAACTAAGAAAAAACCATGCAACCTATTGAAGATTTTTGCTAATTATGTTCAAGAGTTATCAGTCCAGAATTTCAATTTACATAAATTATAAATACTTAATTCACTGCAGTAATAGTGCATTATTGCACCATTATTGTAGATATACATACTAACTAGAATGAAGGAAGGCAGCAAAGAATGAAAGGAAGGAATTCATTAAAAGACAGTGTCAAATGGTACTTCCTAACTTTCCTTTTTCTACTGTGAGTCAACACTAATGCTAAAAGGTCTCACCCAAAACATTGTGTAGGACCCATACTAAAAGTGTGCATACGTCAACCATCAAAAATCAATTTATACAAATATTTTAACGAGAAAATACTTTTTTTTTCCGACTTTCTCACCTTTTAGTTCACCATGACCCAGTCTGCCTAATCGACCAATCACAATTCTCCAAGGAACTGGAGTCCTCTGAATGACGCCAATACACCACTCCCACATTTTCTGCAGACCCATCTTCCTAGCCGACACTTTGGGACGCCTCTTTCTGAAGGAGGAAACATTTTTGAGATAAAATGTTTTATTTTTGCATAAAAAAAAAACATTTTCTTCCGCTATTATAGTTTTTAATCACCTAGATCTATCAAGAGAGCCTCTAAAGTTAAGCACAACCTATTTTACTGTTTCAACCCTTTTGTTAATAGCATGAATATATTTAAATTAAAAAACAGCAGTCTTATTTGATATGGGTGATCTGGTAGGGACCATGGAGAATGCTTGAAAACATGCAAGTTATTTAAGTAATTCTTGCTTCTAATTCACATGTCGGGTGAATGGGCAGAGAGCAATGTTTTGCAATGTGTGATGACTGTAAGGAACCGAGCAAATACAGTTTGCCTCAGCTGGATAAAAGTGTGAAACAAGGCTTCTTCTTTTTAAATCAAAAGGTAATTTCCTTTTTAAGATATTTGACTGCTTAATGTTAGAACATTCTACACAGAGCAGAGATCCTTTAAAACAAAACTGGCCTTTGTGAAGTCGATGTAAAATTCTTCAGAACACAACAATCTATTTTGTTATGTTTTGAGGCACAAAAACAACCTCTGATTGAAAGTTACCTCCTCTTGAAGGAGGTGGAATAAGGGCTGCTCAGCTTAAAAAACTGCGCAAAAATGAATAAACACCAGCCAGCTATTATTCAGGGAGCAATCCTGCTGTAATGTCCAAAAGAAAATGTGACCTTAATTTTAAGTGATGCAAAGGTTTATCATTTTTAAATGACTTGACAGAGGTACAATAAAAAAAAGAGACCTTTAAAATGATGTCATTCTGTTGCAGCAATAACTGAATTTATAAACTCAGTTATTGCTGTTTTAGCTATAAACTTGCACATTGCCTCTCCAAAGATCTCTGACAGAGGAATCCAGAAATATTAAAAAGCATTGCCCAAAGTCAAAAAATAGCTAAGGAATTCTCTTCCCTTGAAAACATCCAGTAAAGAACTACACATGTTAGCTTTTACAGATATCCAATGTGCAAGACTCCACAGCTGAAGAAAATTGTATGTTTATTGTTTTTAAGTTGTGGTCAAGCCACAAAAATGAACAGTTATGCATATAAATCAAATAACACTAAGTCGGCAGTATGTTATGCAGGTGGGAACATTATGGTTTGGGCAACCTTCGTCATATGATACTGCCCGACTTCATTTAACTAAAGGAACGATGAACTGAGACACCTGCCTGGAGATCCCTGAAAACAAAATAACTGGATTTCCAAGTAGGATAGTTTGTTGAAAAGTTAGAACATACAAAGAACTTACCTGGACAACATATATGATAAGATTTATATAGTAGGTAACTTGATGTGATTATGGAAATACATTTTTTTAAGTATTTCTAAAATGTCAGAAAGGTCACAGTAAACCTAACCAATATTTTTTTTTTTTATTATTCCTTATTTTCTTTGTGGACTAATTTGCTTTGTTTTGTTTTTTTGATCAAATATGGTGTAGTTGGTTGATAAATTAGAAATATATTGATGTCGAAAAGCTTTGATATGTTTTAAACTTATTTTATCCACTGTTTAAATACAGTAATTGGATGCAAATAGGCATACCAAAGGCAAATATTTCTTACCTATTTGGAACATCAATGTTAATAATGCAGGTTTCCAGGAGCTCCCCTTGCTGGTCTGTACAGGACACAAGGATCCAGCGTTGGTCGTAGGACAGGCAGTATCCTACAAAAAGCACGTTGTATTTGGGAGGAACCTCAGTCAATATCTCTCCTGCCTCTGGTTGCTTTTGACGAGGTATCCCGAGAATGAATGGTGGCGAATAGAGCTGGAGTGGTTTAGGATGCTAAATAAAAAAGGTGAAAAGATAAATATATTTGCAAAAACAAAAAACAAAAAATTGATATAAGGGTATGATCAAAATCAGCTTAAAAGTAGATAAATTATCAGGCAGACCTCTTGACTCTTTAGTACTGAGCTGACAGCAGACACTGGACCAAAACCAGTGAGGGACTTGATATAGGTTTGCTGGGGCAGCAGTCGTCTGCATTGTGAATAGCAAGAGAAAGCCAGGGAGCGCAAGTGTTGAAGGTACAAATGGCTCTCTCCGCCTGCGGGCTGGAGAAGATACTGGCATGGCACCACCTGAAACACAAGAACAAGATGGAACTAAAGAATTAAACAAATGTGTCTGTTTAATTCAGAGCTGTCATATTGTAAATCAAAATATTTTTATACCTGTAGAACAAGTGCTGGTCTCATCGTCTCAGGCAAGTTTTGCAGCATCTCTGTGTAGCAGCGAAGCAGCCCGAGAAGCCAAATGCTTTCTGACTCTACTTCTTCACCCTCCTCTTCCTCCTCTCCTACTTCATGCCTTATTCCACTTGAGCTGAGAAAAGCATCAATAACATAAACAACAACTGCTGGTGGGTTAGCGATGCTGTCCGCCAAGTCAGCCACAGTGGGGATGCCGATTCGCGTCTGCTCTGAGGATCTGCAGAAAGGAAGAAAAAAATTAATGAAGCAGGTTCAAACATATTTTCAATTTTAGCAACCTCTCTAAAACGTTTCTTCTTACAGTTCAGGAGCATCTGCTGGTGTGTTGGCTCCTGGAGTAGAACTAGCATTGGCCTTTGAATCGTTGGACCCCCCTTGCGTTATCTCCCCAGGCTGACTTGAGATGGCGCTGCTGAGGGTTGACACATTTGATGCACTGACAGCACCTGAAGCTTGTTCTCCATCAACACTCCAAGTTTGATTCAGCCCAGAGGAGGATGTGTTGTTTACAGGAGGCTGTGGTTTGGGAGGTGATAGAAGACTGCTATCCAAAGTCAGGGCTGCAAGCTGAGGGCCTTAAAGAAGAGGAAAAATAACAATCAGGTTTTTTTATTATTTAACACTAAAAATAATGAATCAAAATTTTATATAAGGAATATGTGTCAGCAGTTTCCTTATGCTTACCTAACTGCTGCTTCAAGGCATACGCATAAAGTTTCAGTTTGTTAATGTTGTCACTGTGCTGCTGTCCAGCCCATTGTCCACTCAGCCACTGATCCACATTCAGCTCCTCCAGCTTTTCTGGCTCCACTTCCTCCCCAACTTGAACGAGGCCTTCCTTGGACACCTTAGACAAAGGACGGTGCTTTCCGAGACGGCATGTCTGCAGAAGGAGCGGTTCCCTCATTAGAAAAAATAGATTAAACAATCCCTACTGTAAATACAGGGTATTGAAACCTCCTCCTTGCACTTTTTTCCCCCTCCAGGGGCGGAGCTCATTTTTTGTTTCCATTTGGACTTAATTTTCCACCTCCACAACAAGGAATTCCCCTTTTAAACAGAGGGTAGCAGCAGTGCTACTCTCATTTAGTCTCCTAACTTATAACGACATTTTAATTGTTAATATGTTAACCATAAACTGACAGTAAATATTCACATAAATATACTAAAATGTAAAAAGGACAGTTACAGAGTTCAAGCCCTCTTCAGGACCAGTTTTTGTGTGTTATGTGAACAACAGAAAGTTTTGTGTTACTGCAAGTCCTATAGGAGTAGAACGTAGGAGAACCACTGCTCTACCAATTTAATGTTTATATTTCGGAAAACCATAAATCATTCTTAAATCATTTTATTAGGAAAGGCTTAATAAAAATTCTGTGATTTATTGTAAAATGAATGTTAGTGAACCAGAAGAAAAAACAACAAGACTGTGATTGGTCCAGACTGAGCCTTAACTGGTTTTTAGCTACCCCTCAGTGCACATTGGTCCATGCCTGGCCACCCCTATAAAAATGTTCGGACTCCAGCAATGGTACTCTCAAATTATATGTGTTGTGCTGTTGTACTATAATCTGAATTTTACCATTTTGCCAAGTTAAAGGTCAAACACTAACTTTGTAAAGTCTTGTACATACAAAGAAGGAAAGTGTCCCCCAGTCTCAGCAAAATAGTTTAAGCTCAGTCATTTTAGAAACTCAGCAACAAACAACAGTTTAAAAGTCTTGCCAAAGAATCACAATGGATTTGGGTTGGAACTTTGCATTAGCTTGTCTACTACATTGATAAACTAAGTTCTAAAGCATTCCTTTATAGTTCTGGCTGTGTCATTAGGATTTCTGTTCTGCTGGAAAGTAAACCTCTACCCCACTATCATGTACTTTTCTGCCCTGTGTTTAGCCCATCTATCTTCCATGCTGTAGCCCTTGTTAATAAATTACTTTTATTTAGCAGTGGCGTTTTTTGTTATTTCTCCATTAAGACCAGATTTCTCACAACAAATTTTATATAGACAACTTAATATAAACAGTGTCTAATATTAGGATAAATTCATTCTTATAGTGTAGAAAAAAGGAACATATTTTCTGAATATTTGTGCACTTGTTCTATCAGAAATGGTAGAGCTCCTCTAATTAGATAAACTCTCAACAAATTTCTTCACCTAATAATAATTTCTGCAACCCCTCTATAGCCAACATGCACATCTGGTGCTCCTCTGACTAATCCTCTCCTTTCTTGACCAGTCTGTTTTGAAGTCTGTTTTGCAGTTCTTCTTGACATGACTTGCGTGAATCTTCTTTCCTTTGAATTTTTTTTAATTATATTTCATTAAAAAAGCCTCCAACACAAAGAGCTAAATGTATAGAGAATCAGTACCCTAAGGGTAAATTCACTGATTAGGTGACTTTTAAAGCCTGTTAGTTGAGCTATATTCTTTAAAGGTATTAAGAGTGCTGATGCATGAACACACTTGCCAAAAAATACTTTACATTACACTTTGCAGTATATTTTTGTGTTGATCCCAGTAAAATACATTTGAGTATGTGGATATAAATGACAAAATGTAACAATAATCAAGGAAAAGAGGCGTGTGCTTTAACTGGCCACTGTAGACCATGCTTCTAGTTGTGTGCTGACCTCGTAAACAGCACTGAGCTCCAGGAAGAAAGCCTTTGATGCAGCAAGCAGGGAGGTGCTATTAGGACACACCACCACATATGCAACATCCCTCTGTCCTCCATATGGTTCCAGCAGCAACTTCTCCCAAAAAGGTAAAGCCATGGGCGACAAGGCCAAAAACTCCCGCTCTCGGTCATAACCTAATAGCACTTTTGGAATTGGGAGGGGCTCTGGTGACTCCTCTGAACCTGAGGCAAATACAGATTATAGTATTAGTCTCTGGACTAATTTTACTTTCAACATAGATCAGCGTTCTACAGCTTCTGTTCTGGGTAAATGTATTTAATTGCATCCCAGCTCAAACAAACCTGGATTAAAGTAACAGAATTAGCTGTAAGCAAATTCTGCAAAGACCTGGTAATGAGCCCTTCATGTGATTCAGGTGGGTTTGAACTAAGATACAAGTAAACCGTCAAAACAGTAGATTTCAAGAGCTGAGGTCAAGTTTGGACAAAAAGTTGGAACTCACCATAGGAGCCTCTTCCAGCCATCTTGTGAAACTGCTGCCAGGTGAGTGGACCCTGAACATGTTGGATGTTTTCCCATGTCCGTCCTGTCCTCTTCTTTTGAATGGCATCTTGGAGGAAAGGCTGCAGAGAGAGCAGCATTCGAACCATGTCCTGTGACGACAACCTGCTCATGTCCACCACTGGAACGTACAAACAGAGACAAGAGGGAACATCAAAAAGGTGCACAAAAGAAACAGTAACACTAGATTTATCACAAATGTAGCAGTCACATTTCTTACCATTGGTGTGAGGCCAGGAATGAATAGCACTACTTCTGACGACAGCAAGATCAACTTTCCCTCCTGTTGGGTTATCTACATACTGCAGCCCCTGTTCCAAAGCATTGAAACAGTCCACACAAGCATCGCTTCCATCTGCCCACTGCTTTTCAGCCATCCAACTTTGGAGCAGCGCCCCCTTGCGTCCATGACAGGAAGAATTCATTGGAAGATGTAGCGAAGCCAGAGAGGAGATGGGCTGGGAGCACTGCTCCTGAATAACAATCATTACAGATGGAGAGCCAGGACCAGCCTCCTGGGACTGCTTTGCTCTGGAGTCTCCCAGCGTTGGGTCCCGGCGACAGAGAGCAAGTCTCCTCTCAGCTGCTTTGCCTCCCTCAGAATTCTGACCGAATATGTCAAGCTCATCCTCCAGGAAGAGCCCTGTGCCGTGAGCCAGCCGTCTATTCACAATGGCACTGAAACCACACATGCAGCGGTACTGATCTTCACACGTGGAGTCTGGGATGTAAACCCCAACATCTGCCCCTTTCACATTCATGTTGCACGCACAAATACAGCAGCTGTCAAAGTTACGATCCTTAAAGACACTGAGGACAGAGTCTGAAAGCAGAAGGACTACATAGAGGCTGTGGGCCTCAGGGAGAGGGGGGCCCGGTCTAGCTAAATGCTCTACAGAGCTAAGAGGCAGGCTGGTGGAGGGGGGTAGAGATTGGTGAGCTGAGCTCAGTACCATCCTGCTTCACTGAACCCTGGCCTGAGCTTGCAGCATTAATTCCCCTGGGCGTACGTGGGGTTCGTGGGGTAGGGACGGAGAAGCGTGGCGTGGCGGGAGAAGGAAGGATGCCAGTAGTGTTGCTTAGGGAGGCAGTGTTGACACTCATCTGGACATAGTCTTGTTCTGCTAGGGTCATGCCACTGGGAGTGTTCCTAGAAAACACACATAAGAAAATTAACACTGTAAATTTTTTGGGAGGAAGCTCTGAAAGGTTCATATGCTGAGGCAAATATGGTTAAAACAATTTATATACATATACTGCATGAAAAGAAAGATAATTTTGTTTCAACATAAACTGATATCAAATTAGACAAAAAAATTATTTTGGATATTTTTTTTAAGATAGATTAGGATTACCAAAATTATTATGCCAGAATACTGAGAAAGAGAATTTAGTGTAGGGACAGTGTCTGGGTGGTAAGTTGGCATCAGAATTTTAGATTATGTATAATATAATATATGTATAACAGAGATAAGAGTAAAAACTAGCGTCTGTTTCTAGACTGGCTATGAAGGTATGTGGGAGTCATCTGAGAGGAGCTGCATTTATAACCCACAGTGGCAGAACAGGCATGTTTTTTCCTATTGACTTTACAAGAACATTAATACCAGTTTAAAATAACATGAGGAGGGTGCAAAACACTATTTTAAAGCTCTGTTCACACAGGATTAGTTTGAAGCTTTCAGAGACGTCTGTGTTTTTAATCCTGTGTGAATGCACCATGTCAGTAATTTGTTAAGTTAAAATTTCCCCGTAAATTAGCTGCTATATTTTGCTAAACTCTGAGGTCCCATGTTAATACTATTCCAATGAGAATAGGCATCTCTGCGATTTGGGCAAAATCCAGTTGGATAAAACGCATGATAAGGCAGTTTCTGTTTCCTGGGCACATTTTTATTTTGCTATTATAAAATCGATTGGGTCCCAGACAACAGAAATTGTATCGGTCCACAGTGTACAGGACTTCCAAAACCACCAGGTAAAACTAATCCCATAACAATAAGGCCATAGACACAAAGTCAGGATTGTAACAAATGGGCAGTAAATTGATGAAAATACCGGTATACATAGATGTGTTATAGTGTTATCTATATGCTTATGACACATAGACAACACTATATGAGAGCCAACCAAGCAAGTCATTAAAGAAAAGTTGATTTTGGGGTGAGTCTTCTTTAAGCATATTGCTCTTTTGGAAAACCCACTAGGGTCAATGCTTTTCCTGGCCAATGTTTTAAGATGTTGCTTTCATCTTTCTATACGATTTTTGTCATAATATGATTGTGGTATGGTCTATTTTGTGAGGTGCACAAGTCCCTCCTGCAGCAAAACCTTCACTCAACATAACAGCGTTACCTCCTTATTTAAAATTTCTATTTGTTTTTTGTTTTTTATCAGGGTTCAACCTCACATTTCCAAACTTAAACATGCATGGAAACCGATCCCCATACTAAAATGTCCCACAGTTGAATGGATCCCTTAATTCCCTTACTAGGAATTTAGGAAGCTAAAAATTGCACCTGAAGTCTTGGTAATCCTAACGGAAATGTGTATTCTTTCTTTTTACAAATATCTGGTTTCAGCTGTGTTTGTCAGAGAAATGTTCATTATATTAAATGAAATATAATCTTTCAACAACATCAGTTTAAAGAATGTTAAGGCCTATTGCTTCTTACGTGTATCCATCCTTGGTGCATGTAGTATTCTGTGGATGCATGATGGGTGTAAAATGCTCCATTTTGGGCAAGGTTGCCCAGGATGGTCGGTAGTAACATTGTTCAGGAATCTTGAGAGGCGGTAACGTTTGGCTGGGAAGGCAGGACAGCGGCGCAAACATGGATGATCCTATCTGTGGCTGGACAAAAAAATAAATAAAAAATATGCATATTACAACTAATGCTCAGGTAACTGGTAAAAGCAAAAACATAGCTGGAAGATCTTTGTACTGTTGACCCAAACAACCAGCTGTACAAAGCTGTACGGTTACAGCTGTACAAAGGAAAACCTATAGAAGTTCTCTACCAGTTGACAATGCATTGAGGACCAGTGCAATACAACATATCCTCCTCTGATTGCATTTTTATACAACCCTTTCCGAATTATAAAAATGAATATTTCAACCCTTTGACAGGTCTTTTTTTTTATTTGCACCCAATGCTACACTAATGGATGAATTACTTAAGGTTTTCATTTACAAATATACTCATGACTTGAAATAATTCAATAGACTCAGATTAAGATAGAGGTGGGAATGTTCCACAAAACATGAATGTGAGGAGTAGGAGTCCATATTCAATTATCCTGATTATTTAAAATATTATTATTTGTTGTGTAGCATCACATTCAAAACACAATTCTAAAGGTTTCATTCGGTAAAATAAAGCGTGAAAAATTCAAGTTAAAGGTACAGAAATTAATGCATATTTTCTCTCTCTCTCTCTCCAGATAGATAGATAGATGTGTTAATTAATAGTTTTGATGCCTGCAGTGTGAATCTTCAATTTTCTATCTATCTATATCTATATATATACATAGACATATAGATACATCTCTTTAGATGTCTCATTTTCAGAAATATTTATATGTATACATAAAAAATGCTGAAAATGGTTGGACCTGTTTATTAAAATGGAGAAAGAATCTACCTTAAAGTCGTCCTGCCTGGGACTAGCTGCACCTTCCTCCATCTCACTCATGTATTCGGTTAGATGGACGGAGGCCAAAGTCGGCAAGTGGTCCGTCAGTCCAGTGGGCGCAGGGGTCTCTTGACTTGGAGTGTCTCTATATGGCGTGATGGGAGAAAAGGCTGGGTGTTGCTCCAAAGATGGCGGAGTGGGGAACATTCTCTGGAGATCTGCTACTGCTAAAAAGAGACACACATTAGGAATGAGATGAAAAGGGAAGAAAGAACAAGAATGGCTTGGAGTTGTTTAAAATAAATGGGAAAAAAATCATAGAAGAACCTGAATTATATATCATTTATTTGTATTGCGAATATATATGAGGGTTTCATAACACAAATTACTCTTGAAGTGGAAAATAACTTTCCTTATAAAATTGCTAGAGCTAAATTTGTGCAACTGTTTCTAATATTTTCCACATTTGGAAAAATCTTCTATACAATTTCACAACGCAAGAGCATACAAAGACACGGATCTTTCTAGATCACCAACAGTCCTGGTCCTGTCCTATGACCTCTGCTCTTTGGCCCTAAACATACGTTTTCTAAGGAATGTGGGAATAAAAGCTAAAATGGGCATAAAAATAAGTTTATTTAGTGTTTATAATTTTCCCGATGAATACTAAATAAAACATTTTTGTTTATTTACCAGATGCTGAGGGATTTTTATTCAAATGTTCTAACATTTTTAAAAACCTTTGGATTATCAACTTGAAAGTCCACCAAATGTGTTAATGAGAAGCTTTCCTAAGTAATTTTTATTTTTATTTTTATCAGGATATCCCCCTGAATAACCTTTTACTTAAAAGGTTTGATATATTCTTATCTAAAGCAAGTTACTGTTTGTGATGAAATAACTGAAAAGTTCAAAAGAAACAAACAAAACAGCCCAAGGTATCCCATCTTGCAGCAGTTCTATTACACTAAGTAATAACCAAAGTGCATGGCATGTTTTTTGTTTTTACATTGTGATACAGTCAAGTGAAATATCACAACAAAACCATAACACTATCAAAAAGGATTTCATGGGCACAAATTTGAAGATATATGAAACCTTGATAAAAAAAAAAAAAAAAAAAAAAAAAAATAGGCACAACAAAACTATAGCTCTTGTTTTTTTGTTTTTGTTTTTTTTTTTGCAAAAAAACGTATTCTGAGGATTTAATTGAAAATATTTCTTTCTTGCTATGGGATTTTTTTTTCTTCCCCTAAATGAAACAAAGAACAAATCTAACACAGTGTAGACTGTGTTTTATGTCACAGGTAGTTGTTTTACACATATGTATGGTTTTATTGGGAAATAGAGGTGTTGCTTACTTGATGGATACGATACATTAACTCTTCCTTCTTTCCCACCAGGACGATCTTCTGCAGATACTAGTAACTTGGTTGAGTGTTGGTTTGGATAAACAGTCTACAAAATATAAACCAGAGACTAGTTTAATATAAAACAGTACTTTTAGCAGGGAAAGTTAGAAAAATAACAAAATAAATCGACTTGCTTCAATGTATTTCCAACACTGATGGCAGAATACAATTCACTGGAGAGCTGAATATAACATGCAAGATAATAAAACAGCTAAACTGATGTTGGAGAATAAGACATAAAAAGGATGTTTTACCCCTACATCTTCTTCATCAAGTATGTTTTCCAGATCTGAGATGTTGACCACCAGATCTTTCTCTTCAGTCAGGGAAGGGTTGGTTTTAGCAGGGGCATTTTCTTGACCAGAGTCATCTAAAAATCAAATAAAATCAGTTAAAAGATACCAAGGAGTGACATTCTAAAAATGTGAAATACAAATGTTTGTGGTTATTTCTTCACCTGATTTTGGAGCAGAGTTAAAGATAGACATTGCATCTTTTCCATCAGACAGTGAACCGTTGCTGGTGATTTCCTCTCCCTAAAGAATGAATTAGGAATTACATCATTGGTCCCAATATAAAAAAACAAAACAAAGAAGCACACTTTTTTTATGACGAATTATGGGATGTAGACTCAAATTTTTGCGCCCCAAAATTACGGCAAGCTGTATGTATGTGCATAATCAAAATAACAGAAATACCCACTTAATGAATATATCACATTGTTTGTAATATTTTGCATGTAGTTCATAACTATCGCTTTTTTAACATAAGTACCAAAATAAATACTTCCTAGTTTCCTAGATCTGCATTATTATATTCTGTCCACTTGGGGGAGACACACTTTAAAGGATTTGGAAGGTCTTTGTTGCACTTTAGGATAAAGCATTAATTTGTAAAACCAATCTTGCACATAGCATCATTAACATTCAAATGGAGTTCTCCAGCACCTGCTGAATTTAAAACTAGAATTTATTCTCCATGCGGTTGCTATTTATTTCACACAACCTCCTGAGGGAAATATCTCGCTCTTGTGCTGCTAAATGTTTAGTAGCACTTTCAACAGTCGTTTAATTTAGTTTATTTTCCTGCTATTACGGCAAGCTAAGTGTCTTCTATCACAGAAAACTGATGTTTTCTCTTTAGTTTTCCTTTTATAGAAACTTACATTTTCTGCCACATACTGTAGTGTGGTGGCGTTACATTTTTATTTATTGCAGTTTAAAATGATTCTGCTCCTACCTTGGCCTTCTGCTTGGCTTCCCGCCCTGAACCTTTTGCCCTCTTGGAAGAGAAAAATGGATATTCAATTTCTCCTTCCTTAAAGTCATAAGGATCGTCCCCCGTTTCTCGCAGAGTCCCTACGCCTGGCTGCTCAAATAGGCCCAAAGTTTGGACGTGCTCCACCACCCTTTCTTCTGAGATTTTAAACCTCTTGTTGCTCTGAGCGTAAAGTCTGGAAAAGACAAGGAGAGACAAATGAAGAAAAATAAATCAGCTTTATTTTTCATTCTACAGAGAAAACCAGAAATTTGATCTCATGCATATCTAGCTTTGATAATGGGTTCTATCGATAAGATGCTGCCAATCCTCACATTAACTCTAATATTTCTATCAGGTGTTGAGCATCTACTGTAATGTAACCTGATCCAATAGGCTAAATGTCTTAAAGGTACAGTACATACTGTAGGACGATTTTTTATTTTCAGGTAGATCATCTAAATAAGTGGTCCTCCGAAGTGTCAATCATTCTGATGATAAGTATACGTAAGGCCGTCCTCTGTGCTCTTTCCGTTAGCTATCTTTTTCTGTGCATGCATACTTTCAGGCATATATCTGTGGTGAACTATGGTTCAGACAGTCATTAAAGCGCACATTTCTCACCGTGGTTCTTTGATAATGTAAGAGAAAAAGAGTCTACGAAGTGTATGAGAATAAAAGTAAGGCTTCAGAAGAGGCAAATATATCCCAGAATGCTTTGTGCGGAGAGTTCTCTTTGCAAAGCATTACAGGATTTACTGTCACGGCGGCCCGCTGTTGCTACATGACAGCTGCGACTTATAACAAAGATAGCGCAAGCATCACGGGTTGAAGATGGAGTTAGGTGACCACTGGGGAACAAAAGGCACTGATTACTTATCCGAATGGTAAGTTAACTGAGATCGCTAAAAAGTCCACTATATACAGTACGTAATTCCCGCTCTATATAGTGATTGATGGATTTAGGGGTTAGTGCGGACGTCGGACACAGTAAACTTGTATGAGCTATGAGAACAGCAACTCTTAGACAGAGCATGCATGAGGAGAAATGATGTGTACGCTCTCGCACACGTTTAATGGGTGTTCCCTCTTGATAGTGGGTACAGGGTTGGGCGTATGCATGGTTTTTAAAGTGGAGAGGGCGGTTGTTTTAAATAATTCAAGAAAATCATCCACAATACCTTTAATGAGTGGATCTTATTAGCCGTTATAATGTATATAATATAGCCGTTATATAGTTATATTTTTTCTCCTGGCATTGTATTTATTTCCTAGCCTGGGTGCCATTCCGAACATAGTCCCACCCACAAGGTTTGAGTTCGGGGAAGTTCGGTCTGGCTCTGCTCCATAGTAGCGCGAGTATTAAAGCCCACTGTCAGGCGATCCAATCAAATTGTCAGGGCGGGCTTTATACGATGATGGACAGATGATCAAGAGTAACGTTATCAACCACGTGACCAATGCGCGCTTGGGTGACAACAATAATGGCTGCCGCTGGAGAGTTTAGGTGAGTAGATTCTGCTATTAGGTCTGTTCTAGAAGATATCGACAGCAAATTAATTTTAAAAGAGGAACAGAGAAACGCGATCAAGGCTCATCTTCTTATTCTAGGCGTGAAACTGCACGCTTTGATTTTTGTGGACAACAACTATGCCTCGCTTAAGATACGTCACGCACTCCGTTGCTCTTATTGGTTGTAGATCTATCCAATTGAGTGCAGAGGCATTTTTTTTCCTGGTTCGTTCAAAACACGCCCCATAATCACAGCTCTATGGAGCAGTATCAGACTCATATTCTGACTAGAATTGAGTAGGACTACGTCAGGCTATTTATTTCCTACCTTTTGAGAGGATCTCTCATAGTGGCAGTTTCTGTCTCCATTTGCTCTAATTTCTCAGTAGGGAGTTCAGGAGGCCTGAAGTCACTTTTATCACTCCTGGGAGTCCTGAAGCCTCTCCACCAGCCACATCCACTCTCCCTCTGCCTCAGTTGAGCGGTATAGGCTGCTGTCTCGCTGGTAATCACTCCCAGCCCTGAGGTCCCATCAGGACATGCAAGCATGTCCACAGAGGCGTCTAACACCTCTGGGTCCTGTATTCGGGGGTGCGGGCTGAGAGTAGGTGGGAGTGGAGACATGGATGAATGAAGGAGGGATTCAGGGGCTTTTCTTTCATTGGAAAGCGACTTGGAACATTTGCAACTTGGGAGGGAGCTCAAGGGCTCCATTGGTGGTTCAAGTGCAATGAGGGCACCAAGCTGGGACCCTCCAGGTGAGTCCTGTTCCAGCGTTGTATCCTCTGTGACAGGTAGACGGTGGTGGAAGGGAATCACAGCTGGCCTCTTGGACTGCTTGTCAGCCTTTTCGGTCTTGTCGCTTGTTTTGTGTTTGGGCAGGGAGGTAGGGTAAAGTGACGTCCCTGAAGACAGTGAGGAGCTGGGACATGGTTGGATGCTTGCAGTGGGTGTGTTGGACATGCTGAGGTTCTGCTGCTTTAACCTGTAAACCAAATGAAAGCAATCTCTTTTAACACTCTTGAAGGAAGCACAAATCACATTTTATCAAATGTTTAAGCAAGAAATGGTAATGCAAAGGTCATGATAAAGAGTTTATCCACCTTTGAATTATTAATTGCTGCCAGAAAAATCTAAAAAAAAATGTTTAGCAGACAAATATAAAGCTATGCATTGTGTTACATAGAGAAAATTGCTTAAAAAAACGCAAATATCTTAAAAGTTTGATATGTAATTATGTATAACTTTGATTCCCCTTAATAATGTATTGTGAGTTGAATTTTATCATTAGACCATCTTGTGTCTATAGTGTGTATAGTTTTCTTAATTTAGATAAATGTTATGTTACAAAGGGTTGTAAGAGAGCAGTGGGTATTTACAGCATTTCCCAAGGTCTCCCAAACATCTCATAGAATCCATTTCCATTAACACCTTGCTACATAATTGCAAACCAACTAGGATATGGGCATCTACCTAACCAGAGAGGCTAATCATCACTATGGAGGAGTTGCAGACATCGGCAGCTCTGTTTGGAGGATTGCTCCAATCTAAAGTTAATTCTAAAGTTACCTAAAACATCCAAATTAATTTCTGGATTACATTGCCCGGCTATGTCTCAGAAAAGGTGAAGAAAAAAAACAGCGGAATAATTTTGTATACAAATTAAACAGTTTGGCCACTTTCAGTCCATAATTTGCAAAAGTTTTGGTAGAAAACGAAAGCCGTTTATCATCCCAAATGAATCAACATATAGGAAAACATTTTGATGGCTGAATCATGCTGTGGAGATGCTGTTGTTTAGCAGGGAGAGGCAAGGATGGATGAATGTAAACAGTCATGGAAGAACAGCTGTTAGAAGGTGAAAAAAACTTGAGACTTGGAAGGAGGTTCACAAATCAACAGGAAAATAGCCTTACATAGTCAAAGTCTAAAATAGATGGAGTTTAAGTTATTTTGCATGAAAAAAACAGACAAAAATGTCTCTGTAAAAAAACAACAACAACAAAACAAAGAACAGCAGTATCTATAGCCAGATGTGGCTCTATAATTTATGATTTTTATGATTAAATCAATGCAACACTTTTCCTGTGAGGGAAAATCTCCTTAGACCAAACAACTTTGGGTAGCTCAGTCAGATGTGGTCCAATTTGTTTGTTGATAGACCAAGAGCAAAATAATGTGTTTAAGTCTGTAGACTTTGGTTTATTAAATGGAAATAGAAAAAAAGTAACTATACTGAAGAGAAATATCCAATGGATTACAGAACGAGTTAAAACGACAGTTGTATGTTACCTGGAGCAGCTGCAGGGTACTCTTGCTCCAAGATCATTAAAGTTCCACATAGTAACTCTGTTTGGCACTTCCTTTCTCTGCATCTCGTCAGTCAGCTGATTTGGTCTGCAGGGAAGAACCAGATCCAGAAGGATATATCAACTTATCATGAGTATTAGAGTAATAATGACAGTATTAGGAAGGAGGTTATTTAGAGGTATCATACACATGCTGGGAGTGGTTGAGGTAGCACTCCCTCCAGGCCTGGTGCACCACCTGGCAGGTCAGCTTCTTCCCAGAATGCTTCGGGCTGAAGGTGGTGATCCCCATGCTGCTATCTGGTGTGGGGACGTTAGAAGACGACGTCACGAAGCCACTGTCTGCTGCGAAGCAAAGGAACAGATACGAACCACTCAGCAACAGAGTCATAATCTCAGTCAGCAGTGAAGCATCTTATTCACCGACGCTCTTCTATCCATGAATCTAATTGCAGAGGAAAATAATCTGTCATGTGTGAAAATATCCAACTGGTGCCTTTTAACAAGATTTTGAGACCGAAATCTGACAAGGTCAGAGCGTATAACATAAGCACTTGTCATACATTAGTGGCTACCGCTGTCTAATAGGGGGGTATCATTGGGTTATTCACACATTGGTCAGTTTCTCATACTTCAAACAGACAAGCTGGGGGAAAAAAGTGTTAGAAAGGAAACAGACAATATTTATTATTTATGTAGAACTGGGAAGCACCCATGATATTAACCCATCCTCACAGTAGTCATTAAGATTCTCACAGTACGTCATAAAAAGCAACATTTAATAACAGAGCACCAAACCCTCTATTGGTTACATAAAACACATAAGCAATAAAAGTAGGCATATGAAAGCATTTATTTTATAGTCTTTAACTTATTTCATTAGTAAGGTTTACATCCAGCTGGGTTTAAATGAAGTAATGCACTTCAGGTCCATGGAGGACACCATCTTTGTGCTCTAATCACTGCTGGATGAGACGTTGGTAAACTTCTACTTATGTTGTTCTGCATTCATAATGGCAGAGAATATGTTTTGTGAAATCATTTGACAACACTTTTATAAAAATGTCTCTATGTGAAGTATAAGGGAGATTAAGTAGAAAAGGATGACTAATAAGTAAATGATTGGGCCTCATAACTTCAGTTTGATCGATTCATTAAGTTGGAATGGGACTAATACTGAAATATGAATAAATTTGTGTTTAATTAGTCTGAATGCTAATTAAACTTATGGTAAAATGTTACTGGTTCCCAGAACTTAAAGGCAATATGTATGTTACCTATAAGCAAGGGCGTAGGTCTCATTTGAACTTTGGTAGGGACACTATTGGTCTGGTGTCATTGGTGCTATGCAATATGCATGCCCTTTTTTATGCTCGATGTGAGCATCCGTACTGATAAGAGGAATTCATTGTTAAAAGAGAAAAGCAACATTTTGCTCCACTAATAAAAATGTTATATGCTCTACACTCATTAGATGCTGTTTATCAATGTTTGAAGCATCACCGGCTCTGATGAATGTGGAATTAGGACTGTTTTCCACTTTGAAAACGGTTTCATTTGAACGACTAAGAGAGAAGGTAAATACAGTATTTTCTCTTGAAGATACAGAATTGTGCAGAGTTAAACCCCACTCTAATATTTGTACCTACTATTCTCTCTCTGTATCAAGCAAAATAATACATTCATTAAAATATTAACATCACTATAAAAGTTGAACATCTGGGCTGTAGTTACTCTGTGAAGCCAATATCATGTATTTCATCTGGGGCTGAAAAAAATTAATCATATTAATTGATTATGTCAATAATCGTCAACTAATTTAGTAAGTGATTCATCATTAACTGGAGTATAGAGACTTTAAAACATACAGTAATATAAATGTAAAATGTGCCTTTCCCCACAGAGCAACCCACTTAGATCAGTGATTATATCAAAATTGTAAAAATAAAAAACAAAAAAAATGAAAACAGTAATATCAACTTAATATCGGTAAAAAGGAAACCCTCACATTTTCTTTTTTAGTTGGCTGTGGCTAAGAATCAGAAATGTTGATGGCTTACAGCCTTTATTTGCCCATTTTTCCAACAGTCTTCAGAACTCCTGGCTGACTCAGAATATTTCGTTTTATAAAAGAAAAAAAAAAGTTTTTTGTTTTTTAGTATACATGATATTAATTTTTTTTATTGGGGCTAGTTTTGTAGCCTAATATTAATTGTAGTAACCGCTGCATTCTAGTGTGAATAAATTTTCAACTAGAAAACAGCCAATCAGAGAGAGAGAAGGCGGAACTTAAGGCAGAACTTAAGGCAGAACAACCAATGAGAGTTGAGTTAAACAGCGCAGCACAGTTCCATGCGCTGCTACATGAAAGGGACAGGAGAGACCAGGCAGAGGAGCTGCGAGAGGAAAAGAAGCCACTGTTGCAACAACTACTGCTGTAAATTATAAACATGTTGCTCACATCCAATTATTGGTCGGGACAATTAGGTCGGTTCAAAATTTTGGTAGGGACATGTCCCTATGGTCCCTATGCAAACCTACGCCCATGCCTATAAGGTCCAACCATAACTTGCATTTTTCTCCCAACTACAGCTATAAAGAGGCCACCGGCAGAACTGCAGACAAGGATATGTAACTGGTTAAAATCCATTCCAGTGTTTTAATACTCATAATTCGCATTCAAAAATTCAAACAGTTATGTGGCTTTTTAATTCTTTAATGCTAAAGAAAATATAAGGAATGTCCAGGTCAGATCACAGGCTTAGATTGCCTAACAGCACTCACCCTCTGATTCCAGCTTCTGTTATACTGCCAAACATTATGTCAGAAAATCCCCATTTAACTGTGCAGCTGTCTTTTGCAGCAATAGTTTTTTAGAGTCTAATTTTATTGCTGTTTATCGACAGCAATTCCCGGTCTGTTTATGTCATTTTGTATGCCTTGCATTGTACTCAGAGGTCTCCAGCACTCATGTAGAGTAGCAGAGACCACAGTGGAAACTCTAGTCATCAAATGTTGAGGTGTTAAGACAAAGTGCTAAGTTAATGACGCAACAGAAAAAAATCCCCACATCAAGGGAAACAACGCTCAGATGTAACTAGTGACAATTTCAAACATAACAACTCAGCAAACTGATCCACATGAGAAGGGAGCTTTTTTAAAAAGGTTTCTGATGCTTCTTATAAAAAAATATATATTCTGAAATACCTGGGATAAAAGAAGAAAGTTAATAAATACGTGAAGTTTCAGTGCCATACATTTTACCTACTAAGCCCTGCACCATTCATTCGCAGTCTAATCGTTTTTTTTTCTTTTGCATAAGGTTTATACATGCATGTGTGTTACCAGAGCAGGGGTGCTCTGGTGACGTCGGTGGAGTCAGAGGCACACTGCAGTTATTCAGCTCCTTGTTGAGGCCCTGAGCTGCAGGAACAGGTGGAGGCTGCTCCACTGGTAGGTCCCCCTGGGCGATGAGCACGAAAGCAGCTGGGTAGGTCATCCTTACTCCGCCTAGGAAGATAAGAAAAATTAGCTCTGCTGTTTTGAACCAATTTGGTGTCTGTTGCACGTATTTAACAGCAAATATATATATATATATATAAAAAAAACATTTTTGAACATGTATGATCAAAACAATTTTCTTTTGTGTTTTTTTCCAGAATGTTCTTAAATGTCAATGTAAATAGCAATAAATTCAGTTTGGTCAATCACTAGCTTTGTATTCCAATAATGCAAGTGCACACTTTCAGCTAGGAAAAAACACAATCAAAGAAAAATCCTTCTACTTTCAGCTTCGTAAGGCTTTCCTCTTCAGCTGTAAAAGCTGCCTGGATCCAAACGAGTGTTAATTGTAATCAGGTCAAGTCGACGCAGTGGGATCAGACTGATTAGACTGTAAGAGAAACTTTCGGGAGTTTATAGCTAAGCTTCCAGACTCTTCCTCTCTGTCTGTTTCACTACTCCCTCATAGCTTCTAGTCATCCTCCTTCCAGGCATTTTAAAAGACAAGCGGCACTTTCAGCAGTTTCTCTGCTCCAACAGTGACAGAGCCTAATCAATGAGATGTTAACGTCTCACCGTCTGCTTTGTCAAAGCAACATCGCTGGAATTTAATGTAATAGTATTGATTACTATTTAAATGCTAAAAAGCCAGCAGTGTTATTTAATATCCACTGCCACTTGTAATAAGTGTTTTATGGAAAAGTTTTCTTTATTTGAGCACCAACTCCTTTATATCTATACCTATATAGATTTTTTTGTTGTTGTTTTTTTGTTTGCCATACCTACGATGACATCTACGGCTACATGAGAGCTTTGATCGTAGGCCTGCCCTGCTTCCTTCTGTTCCTTTTCTCCACTTCCTTCTTTGGGTGGAAGAACCATGGGATAAAAGTAGCTCCACTCCTCCATCAGCTTTCGAGCCGCTGGGTCACTCATCTTGAAGGCTTGGCCCGTTAGGGTCCCACTCAGGCCATACGGACTCAGGATCACTACACAGAGGAGAAGAAAATGATAAGAGATAGCAAGGAGATATGATCAAAAAGACTAAACATTTACATGGTCCAAAATTTTTCATTAATGTGTTGCTTTAAATTTATCTTAAAAAAGAACAAAACAAAGAATACTTTTAGAAAGTTTATTTATATCTAGTTAGAACACCAATATTACTACAGAAAATAATAATTATATTTCATTAAGTACAACAGACAAAAATACTCAAGATTATGCCTATCTAAATTAATTTTTCTGGTTAGATAAAGAATTGAGCTTTTTTATTTCTGGTTTCCACATTCATATTTATCCTCATTATGTTAGACCTAATAGTGAGATGCATGGTGTTACTGTCTGCAACACTGTACAATGAAGGCAGCAAATGGACGGTTTGTGGTGTCACCTTGGACAGGAGTAGAGGAAGTCTGTGCGAGTTGGATATGGCGCTCTGTGATGTGGTAGGCAGGCTGGTGCTGGACGATCTCAACGCTCGTGCAGACGTTACTTTCACCATGGAGGAAGAAGGAGAAGCAGCAGGACAGGTGTTCGCTGCAGGGAGAAGATAAAAACAGTGAAACTTCAAAGAGGAAACATTAAAATGACTGAAATCAAGCTTGTGTTTGAGTGGCCAGTTAAATGACATGTACAATCACCTACACAATTTCATTACACATAAATTAAGCTGATACATAACTGCTTTTTAATTTTAATTGAGACAAAGTGGACTAAAAATGTCAAACATGTCAGCTTTTGGAGATCGGACAGATGAGGGGATCTCATTTTCTGATCAGAGAACATAATCAGTCACCATGTTTATTAAAACTCAGCTGTCTTTCCAATATGATTCTTATTGCAGGTATAAATCCTCATTTGCTTGTGACTGATTGTGATGGCTGGATGTTTACATATGCAACTCTCTCTTTATTACACCAGCCTGCTTGCAGTTCATCATGCATTGCTGTGTTTTTGTTGTTGTTTTTTTTTAATCAACAAAGAGCAATTGTTGGAGCGTTATTGCAATCTATACGGCAGTGGGCGGGCTGGACGTCATTAACCGCCTCGACAGCTCCACTGATGTATATTTTTAATCTATAAACCACCTCACTACCTGGGTTTATATATATCAGAATTAAAATAAAGTCAGCAGGTACTCTAATCGCTTTGTGATTACCCTGCTGCCTATGCAATATCCCCTTTGCCCTGAGGGAGTTGGACCGCCATTTGAGCTGTAATGGATCATCAAATTCAATAAAATGGCCAGTTCCACTTGCACAGCCATAACTAAACACAGCCTATCAGAGCCGGATGTCTAAGTTTTGATGGTGACAGCCTCCAGATGGCGCTGGATTCACTCGAGAGAAGAGAAGGCAAGGTTTTACGCTTCATAAACACTCCTCAAGCTCCCTGAGAGGAAGAAAAAAAAAGAAAAATCCCAAATGACAGCAGGTGGTTTGAGCATAAGCCAGCACAATCACAGGGAGTAGAGCACAGCTAAAGTGCATACATATGCATGCCTGTGATAAACTGACACCCGGGCACTCAATGCTTTCTCAGCCCATACATAATATCATAAGCACGCACACAGAAATCAGTGGTTGTTTATCATCTCTACAGTTCATGTTTCAACAAAAAATGAGTCAAAAATGCTTTCAATGTCACTGCCCTCCAACCTCGTCCTCTGCTCATCGTTCCAGTCACACAAAGAGCTAAATATAGGTGCACAGGGAAGCTCAGGGAAAACAGCTGCAAGTCAAGGGTACCAATCTGCTCAGGACAAATACACACATCAGCACAATTAACAGAGTGGGGTGTTTATCTCTGTCACTTTTGGCAAATTTATATTTAATATGTTTGAGACGTAGTGTTTAAGGGATCTAAAACAAAAATTTGGTACCTATCATTGCACAGTCCTCCATTCTGCTTTAAGTCCTTTAGTTAAATTAAATATTGTTGAGCAGGTTTAAAATATTTGGATGGATGGATGGATGGATGGATGGATGGATGGATGGATGGATGGATGGATGGATGGATGGATGGATGGATGGATGGATGGATGGATGGATGGATGGATGGATGGATGGATGGATGGATGGATGGATGGATACTTCAAATTAATGATAAAGATCAGAGATGATTGGAACTGGTCCAGTTCAGCTTTAAAACTTCTAATCAATAAGTCTTTCAGGCATTAAAAAACATTTTATTAACAACTCTGAACATCAAAGATCAATGGAATAATCCATGGGATATTCTGCCATTTAACACATTCTTTGTAACACTTCATGATTTAAAGATTATAAAATTAAGAGATTAACAACATCAATATACCAGGAATGTTTAAGGCTGTACATACCTCTAACTGATTTACTTTATTTCTATAAGTACCATAGTTTTATACTACTTCTCCCTGTTTATTTATTTGGACAAATTTATATTTAATATTCCCTTTTAATATTCGCCTGTTTTTGCTTCACTGTTCCAAAACTCTGGAAAGATTTGCCACTACATATTCTCTTTCCACTTTGACCATTTTTAAATCTTTTTTACAGTTAAATTTTTTCTCTCTGCGGTTTAATACTCAATGATGTTATTGTTTATTGATTTTTTTTTTTTTTGTTTGTTTCCGGGACAAAAGAAACAGATATGTTCTCTATATTGCTTTTACTTTTTTATTTTATATTGTTTTTGTTAATCTTAAGTGCATTTAATGGTTTTTTGTATTTCTGCTTTTCAGCAGCCTTTCGTCCTATTGTTTTTTCTTAAGTGTTCCTATGAATATTTTTTATTTATCTAAGAATTATTAGAAATATCCTTTTAATTATTGTCTTCAAATTTGCTTAACTTTAATAAATTTTACTTTTCATTCAGTGTTTACCTTTTTACAAAGGGTAAAAAAAATATAAGAGCCTTTTCTCTGCAACTTTCATCAACTATCAATTTTCATTTTTCCTTAGAGCAAGAAGATCACAGGTTTGAATTCAGACCTAGGAGTACCTTCAAGAAGTTAACATGTTCTCCAAAATCTTGAGTTGTGATCTAAGTACCCTGGCTTGCTACCACAGTCCAAAAAGATTTCCTGTCTTATAGACTGGTGACCTATCCATGGAATACCACGTCTCTTACTCAATGATATCTGTAGAAAGGCACCAGTACCAAATCTACCCAGATATATAAAAAGGATGGATGGATATTTTCTATTGTCCCGTTTGTTTTTTCCTCTAATCAAGCCACAGGACATACTAAAATAAATAAGATTTTTTTTCAAAGCCAAGAAATTAATTAAATAATTTTACTTTTTATAAAAGTTTAATGTTAACAGTAATAGTTTAATGTAATAACTATGTGAAATAAAAAAAACTATTAAAAAAAAATCACCTCTCTTCCATGTTTATCTTTGTCCGAACATTTGCATGTTAATGTAGGACGAGTGAATCCCCATATAGAGAGTGTAGCATTTGATTCAGACAACCACAAAATTTTAAAGTACAAAAAAGTTAATCTTAATGCATTGATGTGTAACAGTATTTTTTTCCAACTGCAATAAAATATGACCAGTTGCAAGTCAGCAAAACAGCAGAGTAACAAAAAGAAGCATCAAACTGCAAAATGACCCACCGTGGAGATTGATGCTCCATGTCCTTTTACAAAGGGCATTTTCCTGCACAGTAAGGTGGCGTGAGCATGTGGACACACACATACTTATGCCTACCATTGGGTAGGCATAAGTATGTGTGTGAGAACGTGTGCCTGTACCGGTACAGATATTAATAAATGAGGAGGAGAGATGGGAGAGACATGTCTAAGGGCTGACAGTACAGAGAAGAGAGGAAAAGAAGAACCAATCATGAAAAGAAGAAGAAGCAGAAGAAGAAGGGAAAGAAAGCAGGAGATGATGGTGACATGGAGAATTATGTGTGAGATGTGTGGTTTGCATAACCAGGACGGAGGCAAAACTGGAAAGTTGGGAGGAGTAAGAGGAAATTAAAGAGATAAGGAAAGGAAGACCTGAGGAGCCAGAGAAAAAGCAGTGTGAGACAGAGGAGGAAGTGAATAATTCAGTGCCACACACTGGAAATGCTGCACACATATCGATGAGATCAGAGTTTTAATAGGAGGCTACTGAGCATGATTTTATAGTGAAATCAATCAGCTAATGTAGAGGTAGGGAACACAGAGACATATTACAGTCTGTGTGAATGTGTCACTGCTCAGCTTCATATGATCTGCAGGCTCCCTCTTAAATTTAGCCTGCTATACATGACATGTGACAAATATACCAGCATGTTATGCTCTTGAGTTTGGACAGGTAAAGAACATGCACTTATCTTGTAGTTAAAGCTTGAGAATATGTTGTGTGAAGAGGCAGAGATCATTGCAGGCAGTACTTTGCAAAAATATTCTTCAAACTATTTGACATTTTGGGATTTCAGAAACAAAATCTTGTGTTATAGACCAAGAAAACAGAGCCTGACGTTTTTTCCCAAATAGAAATATTTAATGTATTCTTTGTTGCAACATTGTTCATGCTCCATCATATTAAATGGAAGTAAAAACTAGACTCCTTCAGCAGCGTTTGACCATTCCACCCCTGGAAGTCAGGCATCCTGAACCTTTTAGATGTGATTCTGCTTCACCATATCCAAGTTAGATAATCAGGTCATCAAAGGGGATTCAGGAGAACTTGACTGCATATTGAGAAGGTCATCCAGCCCTTTGATTCACAAGTGAGGAAACAGATGCAAATAAAAGATGCAGGACACAGGACCTGGAGAACTGTAACAGAGGAACCCTGTCCTAGAGTATAGTAGTAGACAAATCTATGGTAGAACGATTAGATGGTGAAGTATTTAGTGGATATTTAGCGATGTTCTGTGGGTAAATAGGACATTATGCTTTCCACAAGGTTTTTACAGCCTCCTACAGATTGTTTTCCATAACTGCTTTCAATTCAGCCTCATCTATCCTCCAATAAACTCTAGCCAGCTTCTCTGCATCTATTAAAGGAAAGGTTCCCTCTGCTTGGTTTACAGTGGTGTGAACAGTGTTATTGACATTAATGAATAACACAGAATTTAGCTTGTAGGTAAAAAAGTCTCTCTTTTAATCTGACAAACTTCTTCTAAATGTTTGCAGCATCCATCGTGTGGTTTATGGTGGGACTTCTTATGGCTCACAACAGTGGCTTTCCCTTGGCCATAGTTTGATAAGGGGCAGATATTCTAAACACATAAAAGTTGGGGTGACTTGGCTGCTGCGCTATATAATGCTGTCTTTGTCTGTTTTGTCAGTTGAGATGGAGAAGCTGGTTATAGTTTCTCAGTCACGCCTCGTTCTTTGAAGTCTAAAACTTACCAAAGCTTTCTACATAAGCTTTATTGTATTATTTCCTAAAGTTAAACACTGATGTGGTATAAACATAAACAGTTTCCCAAAACGGTTTATTCTTTCAATCTCTCTTGATGCGATTTTTGACATATTTTTTGGGGTAAAGCAATAAAGAGATTTTGTATTTTTATTAAAAACTAACATTTATTTAACATAATATTAAA